CAAAACAAAAAAAATCCTTTGTGGAAATATAATTTTACCGAGGCCTATTATTTAATATTTGCCGGCCCCGGTGGCCCCAAAGTAAGTCCAGGGGCAGCATATGCTGCCTCTGCTGCCCCCGTGCGCACGCCTATGGTAGGTACCTTGAACACCTAATCATTCCAATACTAACGTAATTTAATTATAACAGCTTTTCTGAACAGAGTTTTAAAAATCACAATAATTTACAGTAATAATTATTGTTGTATAATATCACTCGAGTTTACTTAACTTTGATTTAACAATAGTAGGTATCTAATTTTTATGGAAAGCCATAAATACACGAAAAATAAACAAAGATTTGCAGTCAAGTTATGGACCGGCAAATAACGGGGGGAAAATAGGACAGATCACTGATCGTCAGGTACCGGAATATAAAAACAGGAGGCTGTTATATTGGTAAGACGGAAAACTCCAAAAGTCCTGCAGGACCGTAATATGGCGTAAAATTATTAATTTACACAGATAGTATACACTGATCCATCAAATTACGGAATTGAAAAACCCCTAAATAATGGCATCTAGAAACTGTATAAGTTAACAGTGGTTTTTAGTGGAAATGAACGTTTTATAATATTCAAATGCAGTCATTTTGAATTTGGGTAGCGTGCGTATACATACTATGTATACGATAAGAATATTATTTAAATTTGTGGGACCCGAGTGCAGTATATATTATATTTTTCACTATATAATAATATGCAACTGTATTCGGAATAAAATGATACAATATTATGGGTGTTAAAATCAATGTGAGGAAAATATATGTTCTCTTTTGTCGTTACGAACACAATAAAATGGTCCTATAATGTTTTATGCTCGTTCCGAGAAATTTTTGTCGTATGGTGTCTCGTGGGACAGTGTGTGGGTAGGTACATAATATTCGTGTGTGACCGTGAAGAGGACCCTAATTCGTACTACGAGAAACCTTATTTTTCGTGTACATTTACAATACCCACATATAATATTTTATATTTCACCTTGAAATACCATAACAATATTGTTATAGAGACTATAAATCAGGTACCTACCTACCTGCGTTTTTTCCACGTGAATGCGCTTTTTATATTGTAAACATAATATGTGAGCTGCGGGCAGGGGACCTTTAGAAATAATGATCATGTAGCAACCTATAATATATGGTCTAGATGGGGGTGACCAAACGGTTGATCTTGGACGATTTTCAAGTCCATCCCCCCTGTTAGGATTTATTAAATATTATTAAACATTTGTAATTTAGTTGTAAATATACAGTTATTAAATACATATATTTAATATTATTACATTATATTATGTTATATTAGTGATATTACGTTATATTATTATACATTGACCCACTTGTAATTTACAGCAGAGTGATATCCCCTTACCAGATTTTTTATTCATAATAAGATGTTTATTATTTTATTGCTTATGTTTTATAATAATTGAGAATGTATACCGTGTAAATATTAACATTATTTATGCAATTTTATTAACCATGTAATTTTTTATCTTATGTATCTATATTGTAATTATGTAACCCCCCTTTACCCCTAATTTTTTTCTAGTGGTTTTCCACTGTTCCAACTGATACAATTAGTTTTGGTAAATATATAATATAATTTTTCCAAATTGTGTTAAAATGTTGCACGATGGAATAACAGTTAGGGATGATAACCACTGGTAGGTATAATGAATAAATGTGTGTAAGGTATAAGTACGTGCACGATGGCGAGTGCGTCAGTGAGTGTTTTGTGTGGTCGAACAATAGGTATTGTTGTTTTTTTTCATTTTTGGTGGACTTTACACGACCGACATCCATTATTGTACGATAACGGACACTCAATAATATATTATTATTGACCAGTATAGGTACATGACATGTATGTATACCCGACCAGTATACATGCACGACTACAAGGTTTTTTTTTAAGCCGTTAATGTCTTACTTACATTATGCCTAACGGGAAAATACTATTAACCTTGCAAGATTTCATTTTATGCATGTACAATGTAGTAATGTAACCCCCCCCCCCCCCCGACATTTTTATCTAGTGGGGCCACTGTTCCAACTGATATAATTAGTTTTGTTAGATATATAATACATTTTGTCCAAAATGTGTCGTGACTCATGAACACGAATTAAAATGTCGCACGTTCGTAAAACAGCTAGGGATGATAACCGCTGGTAGGTATAATGAATAAATGTGTGTAAGGCGTGTGCGTGAGTGAGTGTTTTGTTTGGTCGAACAATGGGTATTGTCGTTATTTTCGGAATTTTTGGTGGACTTAACACGACCGAAATCCATTATTGTGCGATAACGGATACTATATATAATATCAAAATGCATTATTAATGTGCCCCGACCGGTATATGCTCGACTACAACGGGTTTTTTTCTAAGCCGTTAATGTCTTACTTACATTTTACCTAACGGGAAAGAGGCTTTGCTGCACCTATAATACCCGAGTATCAAAAACTTAATGCCTAACATTTGTAATATATTATATAGATTATAGATGCGTCATACACGAGTGAGTACCTATACAAAACAGTCGCCCACCCTATCTCGACGCTTTTTAAAACAACTATTATGTCTTGTGGTTAATTTATCTGACTTGATTATTTCTGACAGCATTAATGACATAAACAAAATAACCTATACCTATATATTTTTATATATAATATTATAATCTCCCAGCTTCATCTTAGCTTTCAGCGGTAGGTACCTAATAATTATTATTTTGGTATTACCTATTTTCATTAAGACAACAAGACATGATTGGTTAAGAAGAAGATACACCTGAATTTGTTTGACTACGTTGACAAGTTACGCACTTGTTACGCGGAAATTTACGCTCAGCGCAGTTAACGTTTGGCTTTAATATTTTAAAAACTAGAGTGATTCGGCTTTTTATGAGACTTATAAGGGTAATAAGGACATTATATGTGTTTATAAGTTGGTTTTTTACGATGGTACAATATTTGTAACGAGTTTTGTGTCAATAGAAATTAAATAACACTATTTAAAAATTGGTTTACCTACCTGTTGTGTGTGGTCTACCGCATATACTGGACGCCGGTATTTCAAACAATCAAACATCCCCTTCTCCCCTTGTATAGTGTATACGACACTGTCAATGGGCTTATATCGATTCCACCGGATATTTATTTATGTGGATTCAGCCGACTGTTTATTTAACAATGACCAATGTACAATTTTTTTCAAATTAATTACAATAAGTACCTACCTATATGTAGATAGGTAAACGTAGTTAACTTTAATAGTAAATGTATTTTTTTTTATTTAAATAATTTATTCAAACATTGTCGTCCACAACAGAAAAAATACAGTATACCTAAACTTTCAAATTATTTTAAAAATTGTACCTTATTAGGTTTATTACCTAACCTTATTATATAACCCAATTATACATAGAGGTATTATGTCAGAAAGTAATAAAAAATACAATGTAAAATTCGTTAGTTAATTAAATAAAATAATTCAAATAGATCGGTGGTACATACCTATAGTGATTGTTATATTTACAAAATCGAGTGAAACTGTAATAATAAGGTACCTAACCTACTAATAAAAAAATCAATAATAAAATAATATTTTAAAATCCGTAAATCTTTTTAAATGTGTATTGATGACCATTGTGCAACTATTAAATGCCCACTTATCTATACTTTTTCAATTCCTCAATATTTCTCAAACTCGGGGAACACCATATGGTTTGTCACTACTACCCTACCTCATAACGTACTACGTGAAACACTTTGAATCACAAATAATAAATGGCGACCGATGCCAATTTGATTATCATATATATCTAAAAAAAAATTAAAAATATATCAATTAAGTCATGATACCGGTGATAAACAATTTAATGATTTAATTGTATTGGAAGAACGACAATAACAAAAGGCTGTTCACAATATCGTAGAAAACGAGATTCAGGACGGATATATCAGGTGCAAAATAATCGCAGACAAAAATCAAAAATGGTCGACGGCCGTAAACAAAACCCCTTAGCGCACCCTCGATGGACACCAGCACGCAGAGCCACACACGATTTTAAGGAAAGGAGAAAAAACATTTTCAAACCATTCTCTGTCCACCCTTCGGGTTGTGCGGTGGGGGGGGGGGGGTTAGGCAACCACTTGGCATGACGATGCGAGTCCATTATAATAATATTATATGACTCCATGACAAATACTTTAAAACCGCTAAATCGGGATTGTTACAACAATTTTGGTGTACAATCTCATTGGACGGGAGGCGCGGTATGGTACGTCAGACGCAACCACAGATATTTATCTGATGATGCAACTTAACTACTACCCCCGATCAGTGTAGCCATCCATACTTTATAATTTATTTATTGCGTATTGCTCTATTTTATTATACATTTCGATCCAGAATCAAATAATTCATGTTTTATTAAATAAAACCAAAAGGTTATATGATTAATATTATTTATGGAAGAAATTCAAATTTAATAGTATGATACAGATTATTATTGTGTTTATAATATTCCAAAAGGAAGTATAAGTATTTCTTATTACGTCAACACTGGTGTACAAAATATTGTGTCCCGCTTAGTATCGTTCAACAGGTTTATAGATAATATCTTTATTATCCAAGACCACGACGATACTCAATTCAGTACGTTTTTTCGTCGTGCATTAACCTTTACGACTCACGTATGGTCGTTTAAAAATATTTGAAGTATTTGGCTACAGACAGACAGCGATCCACAGGTATTAACAGGTAACTATTAAAATTATTATAATTTATTTCTTTATTAGGATTGCTATATTTATGTTAAACATTAGACTCAAGTACATAATTAGTGATTAACAATTAACATATTTTATTTTTTGTTCAGTGCCATTAAAAACAGTACTTAAGTATACTACTTAATTTTGAGTATATCCCTTTATTGAATTTGCAGAACAACATTTTATGGAAGATGGACCAATATCACAGAAAACTGATTAACACCTTTATGTTGGATTTAATATCTGTTACATTTGACTTGGAAGATATCGTTAACAAATTATTAGAAGCTACCATAATCAATGAATGGATGAAAAATTATATTTTGGTAAGAAATTTTAATTTAAGTCAATTCATGTTTCAGACATATGAGTATTATTATACATGAATAATTTATACTAATTTTTTTGTAGGAAGATCAGGTAGAATCCGTTAAAAAAACAAGACTGTACGAAGTAATTCAGGGACGAGGGCCTGAAGCATTTACAGCTTTGTGCAGAATATTAAGAGAAACCAGAAACTATGCTGCTTGCGAAATTTTAACATCGTCCAAAACAAGGTACCTTATACTTAATTAACTATGTTATGAAAATTGAGTGTAGTGTATTGGTTTTAATGTTTTAAATGAGATTTTTGAATAATTGAGTATTGATTATACTCTGGAATGCTGTTTTCTAATTTTTCTCCAAGCAAAAAGTTGTATAATATTTTGTCGACAACCATAGTAATGTTTTTAAAAATGTGGAATAAAGTATTGTCTAAACAAAACTTTTCTTAAGATTATTCCTAAGATGCAACGTTCTAATAATCCATTCAAATTAAATATCAAAACAATGCCATGGTGTGCCAAAGTTACAACGTTTATTGATCTAAGAGTTAGAAAAAATTCAAAAATTATTACATACATGATTATTCAATCTACTTATCTACATACACATTATATAGATATTATTAATCAGATAAAAAGAATAGAATTGTAAATATTCTAAATAAATTTAATAGATTAAAAAATAAATATATTTTCATAGACAATTAATAATCATACATTTTTACATTTCTGAAAATAATAATTAGGTATCTAAAACCTTATAGATGTTATGAACGTGATATGCAGCGTATGGTATTCCTTTAGCATAAAACACTCATTCTTTTAGAAACTAATATGTGTTTATTAAATTCTAATAAAATAGATGTTATCTAGAGTATTATAGTACATATTTTATAAATATATTACTTCTACCCTTACCTTGATTTCAACCACCAAAACATAATTTATTTATTTAATACATTTCAGAAAACAAGTTAATAAAATATTTTTTTAAAAATGTATATTTTTTAAGAAAATTATTTTCCTTGTGAATTGCGTTTATGTAAAAAATTTTAATAGTTAAGTCTAACATACATGTTTTTGTGTTTATTATAGTTTTTATAGTTCTTACTTCGATAATATTATCTATTAATTTTATTAAAATATTTCAGTGAACAAGAGAAACAAATATTAAGTTCAATTGATCTATTGGATACAACATGCCGCTGTAAGCGTTGCTCCGAGCTGTTGAAATAATAAGATTTAGTTGTTTCAACAAAAAATATGATATTTGCCAGACTCCTTCATATGTTCATAAAAAAAATTTGAATATAATTATAAAATATTTATTATTATGCAAAAATTAATACCTATGAATATAATATGATAAATTATTAGGTAAATCATAAATATACTATGTCACATACACTCAGTCCAGGTAGTAAAATCCATGCAGATTTAAAAACACATAAAATGGATGATAATACAATAGGCATATATAGATGATTAATAAGTAATTTTGGAATTGAATAAAAATTAAATTAAATTAAATATAAATTTGATACACTTGATAACAAGTGGTATCGTAGTTTTTCAATAAAAATAAAAAAAACTACCTATCCAAACTTTTGAAAAAACAACCTTTTAATTTTGTCATTAAAATAAAATATACTGTATATTATAAACATTTTAATAATGATTATTTGTAAAGCTAAACAGTTATTCTATGTAAGCGAATTTCAAAAACCCTAAAAAGGCAATTTCAAAGAAATATGGAACTTAATTAAGGATATATTGCCAGAAAAAATCAATAACAACAAATTTATTTAATATAATTAAACTTAAAATTGGTACTATTTCTGGTAAATATAAATTTAATATTTTTAAAAGTCAATTGTTTAAAAACAATATTAATATTATTTCTGTTTTATGTACGAATGAAGTTAGCATAATCCATTTAATGTGGGTATTAAATTGTGTAAAAATATGGAAATTGATAAAAGTTTGTCATTTAAATATTTTAAACAGCTTGTAATTTTTTTTTTTATAGAACTATTTGATAAAATATTTTTTTTTATTGAAGCAACTTTGTTCATTTATAAATTGTTGATGTATTTCTTTTATGATTAATACATATTTTTTAGTTTGTGAACTTTTTACATATTGTTTATTGTCTCATATTTTTTTATGATTGAATTCTCTCTCTTTAGCAGAAACATAGTTTTAAAAGAGAGAATCCAAACATAATGTTTTATTTTATCATAATTATGTCTGTTGTATTATTATTAATATGGATTTACTTTTAAATAAACTATTACTATTGTCTATTACTACTATTTAACTCATTAACTTAGAAGTTACTTCTAAAAATAGCAACCTTTGTCCTATTACAATAATAATAATATGATAAAATGCTTCAACTGTGGTGAAAATGTTGTATCTTAGTTATGACTGTAGCCTTCTCGGTTCTTTCCCACGTCAAAACAGTTTTTTCTATGTTTTACATTTTTAAGACGCTTGCTGGTGAAGGCCCTCTTAAGAGATATATTTGATCATTCAATTAAATAACGGCTGTATAAGCCACTTTCCAAAGATGGGCCATATTTTAGTGTCATACACTAATATCATTCACCTCCAAGACTCAGTGCGTCAGCCAATATAATATTGTTATTATCTCTAGATGTAATTATTGATAGTTCAACCTAGATCAGAATGTTGCAATGTGTGATTACCCTACATTGATATTGAAATTATTCATTAACAATTTGTACAGCTTTTATATTGTTCAACAACACAATGCTTGAACTACAAATACACAATTATTCAAAATAATTGTTTAGTGTATACTTAGATTATCTAAATAAAACCTTACAGTCATATTAAAACCTTGATATATTTAGCAAATTATTTAGTAACTGAACTATAAATTTATATATTTTCTATCCTAAAATATTTCAATTTTGACACTATGCCACGCACATGTATAAAGAACTCTCTTGTAGTTATTATTTATTTTAAGTATCAATTAAGTATTAAAGTATTGTTATTTTAGTTTTCGATAAATAAACTCATTAATCTCAGACACAATTTAAAAACCATTAAACATTAAGGTATACCTTAGATATTTACTAATTCGTAAAAACCATAAATCGTTTAACACATTATTTTTTAATTTAATATAATAGGTATATTTTTAAATGGATATTTTCATTTAATTTAATAGAATAATAAACATAGAAAATATTAAAATTTACAAATTAAATATTCACAATAAACAAATTCAAATTGTTACCAGAAGAAAATAATAATGAATTTATATAGAAATAATTTTCATCTTGATACATTAAAATTACAATTTAGAATATCAATGCTATTAAGGGAAACATAAAATAATTTATTTTACCGAAATTTAAAAATATTTTCTATGGTGGCACCCATGTACAATAGGCACACAGCTGCATTTCTACTTCAGGAGTTTGACTATGAAAAGATTAATCAATGGGTTTAGCATTATACAACAAGCATGATTACATGGCGTCTTTCTGAGATGGTGGAATTCCTATTAATTCATTATTGATCATCAACATTGTACATTTTATATTATTGTAGTATATAGCATTGTTATACATACTTTCTTCGGCCTATTCATTTATATTTGAGATCCTTCTCTATATTTACAATATATTTTGTTACTATGTATTTTCCTTCGCCTTTCTATTTCTAAATTGAAAACAAACAGTTTAAACATCAATTAATAGCTTTTTAGTAAACATGTTCAATATTATAAAATCTACCTCGAACAACTATCAAATGACCTTCATGGATGTAATCGATCACCAAATCATCATCTTCTAAGTACTGAGGAAATCCTAATATGGACAATATTTTTGCTCCAACGTTAAAATATGTTGCTAAACATACGGCCAGTATAAGGGTTGGAAAGTATACATTGAAGCCATCTATGCAGATTATTGTAATAATATCCATATGTCCCATTATCTGAAATAAAAATAAAATAATTTAAATGATAATATAAACAATTGTAGAATAACCATGTAAGTGTAAATAGTGAAAATAAGGAATTTTTCTTTAATTTAATACATTTTTGTTAATATGCTATGTTTAAAAGACATTAAAAGACTGCCATTAACTTAAACAGTCCAATGAGTATTAATTGCTTTACAATTTGGTATGATTATTTGATAATTGTCCACACAATAATCTTTTACTATTTTAATCTTTATCCAAATGAAATAACAAATTTTTACCTGGGTATAATCAGTTTCAAGGCTATGACTCTTTATCAGATGATTATCCATGTGAATAAGTCCAAGGAAATTCAAACACATTGGTGATGTTAGACGGCCCAACAACCTACAATGATAATACCTAATGATTCCAATTTAAATAAATTTAATCAGAAAAATACTAACAATCCAAAAAAAATTAAGCTACTTTCAGTTGTTTGGCAATTTGATGCTAGGTAGTATATGTTAAGAAATTTTATTTTAAAAACTGTTGAATACGTACAATATGCCAAATAAGCAATGGAAAATGTAGATAACACCTGTTAAAAAAAATTTGGTGAAAATTAAAAATCAACATTTACACACAATTTCAGATAGAAGTTGTTTTATGTTTTACCTGTATCATAACATAATTATTGTTTTGTTTTGCCACATTGACCATTAGAGCAAAAATAGAGAGCACTGGTTTCTTCTTGAAAAATGTAATTTCAGACCAGACAATAACAACTGATAGCATACCAGTAATCACTGATAAAACTTGTAGCATCATGGGGTATAAACGACACCACCAATACCATTCTACAAATTAACAAATTTAAGATTATGTATAAAATATACATAACTAAATGAGTGGTAGAAATACAGAAATCCAAAACGTACTATTGCCAAAATACTGATTTTTCAGAAGCAATTTTCTGTATCTTAACATTTACAATGAAAACAATTAATTTTTAAACAGACAAATTATTTTTAAAAATTTTTTTTTTTAAATTATTTAATATTAATATATTATTTATATTTAAAGCGATTCAAATGTGTTAAACATTATAGAGTTATATTTTTAATTTGATTTAAAACTTAATTAAAATTTTTAAAATTACATTTTAGTACGATTTGCATTGACTTTTTTTACTTCCCTATTACGTTTTGGAAATAGTTCGTTTTGGTATAATTAATGATTGGTGCCTATTCTTTTAACATGGGCAATAGTACGTTTTGGCATAAAACTGGAAAAAATATGTTTTGACTTTCTAAACATCATTTTTATGTAAGGGAAAGGTTTGTTTTGGATTAACCAGTCATTATTTTGAATAGTAGATTTGACCAGGAAATAGTAGGTTTTGATCTATCGATGTATCGATATATAACTCGATTTTGTAAATTTTTGCAATAGTACGTTTTGGATTTCCACCTATCAAATATGGATTTGATTGTAATAATAAGTTATAATTTATTAATATACAATCAACTACAGTTTAATAACTTTTATTACAAAAAAAAGAGGGTAAGTGGATGTCGCTCTGCTGTACAGTAGGTTAGAAGTGGGTCATTGTATAATGGATTGTTTTAAACTTGAATCCAATAATATAATATCATTGTATAAGAAAACGGTTCTGAGTGGAGACGGTTTGTCAGTCTTTATATTTTATATTGTTATTATTTATTATATCATGTAAGTTGAATTAATATTATAAAATTATTATTTTTTATTCGTTTCTATGGTGATAAACAAAGCGTTATAAATTAAATTTCCATGTATAGCGATTTATCGTAATTTATCGGTGGTTTTTCCCTTGGCATTATATAACTATTGAGAAAATCGAAAATGACCTCTCTTAAGTACCATTTTGATCCAATTTGCTAAAAGATAAGGTAATATAATATGTTAAAATCGAAGCACTCCTTCTGGTAGAAATTTTTTATAGAGCATAAACAAAGAAAAAATAAAATAATAGACACCATTGTAAAACTAATAGCTTCCTCGCTCCGCTCACAATCTATAATTATAATACATAGAGAAATTTAAAAATAAATGTTATAATAATAGAAAAAAAAAAAATGTTATATTATATAATACCTATATATTAATTAACAAACACTTTAAACTGATTTAACTCACCAATTGTTAATGTAGCTGCATAACTATTCAATTTTGAAGGTTTATTGAACATTTTTTTAAACTTTCGTTCTTTAGATGTCATGTTTGAATTAATGTCTTCTAAAAAAATAGCTTCTTCTATCATTAAACTGCTCTGTGTCTTTGTACGATGATACGTTGAAACGGCAATAATCAACTATAACAATATATTATACTAATATAATTTCTAGAATGTTAGTATATTATTATTAAAATTGTTTTAATAACAACAAATTAATTTAATTTAAACCTGATTACAAAATAGTCAGGTACATAAATTTGATACCTATTAGCAATGTTGTATAACCTACTTAAGACCACACTATACCTGACTTACAAATGTAAAACAGAAAAATGTATTGTTTATTATAGCCTGAAAAGGCTACAGTTATATTTTAGTAACTAAGTTTTCACCATATAAAAAGAAGAATTTTCGCTGGGAAATGTCATTTTTATTTTTCAATATCAGAAATAAAAAAAGTTTGAAAAATAATGGATTTAGAAAAAATATGAACTTTTTTTGTAGATAAAATGAAAACAAAAAATTTAAAACGGCATTTCACAGATAATTTTCACAACTATATTGTTTATAAATTACTATCACTTCAGCCTGAGTGGTTCTATCTCGAGCAAAACAGTTTTTGCTATGTTGTACATTTGTAAGACAAAAACAACACATGCGGTTGTAGCGTCTGCTGAAGTTGCTTCATTGATATGTCATATAATTTATAAGTAACCATAGCAACAATATTCATGAATGCAATTAATACAATTAATACAATATACAATATAAATTTGAATTCAATAATATAAAATTATTGCAAATAATACACAAAATTTTTGCATTTGAAATACAGTAGGTTGAATAAATTATTACCAAAATCATTCTATTTGAAAAAGTCTTTAAAAGATTCAATTACACACGAGTAATATAAATTTTTTTATTTTCCAACATAACAAAACTAGTATTAAGCTCACTATTATAATTTTTTTAAATATAATATTAATTTTTTGTATTACTTGTTCATGAAGTTGAATTAGCATATCAATTGATGGGGATATTGTATGATATTTAGACCGTTCATTTTTCCAAAAACCTTGTTGATCCTTAGGAACTTTTTTCAAAATTATTTCAAAATAATTATACAACTCATCATTTGGACTCATACTAATACTAACCAGTTTTATTGACTAATGTAAGAATTAAAAATTTTCAAATGTTAGTTTTTGATTTCATAAAAGTATTTTATATAAAACGGTTTAATATATTATAGGAAATAGTACTTCAAGAACATATTCTAAATCTACTTCGGATTCTAACATTTCAGTATAAAGTTTTGACAGTTTGAAGTATAATTTTCTCAATGTATAATCAATTTGACTAGACCGCCATAATTCTCTTGGAATATCCACTAATGCAATACCTAACAATAGTATTAATTGAAACAATCCATATGTATTGCTAGTGGATGATGCAGTAGCTTTCAATATTTGCCTAAAATAAATTAAAAATAATAATATTTTAATATTAATAACTAAAATAACAAAAAAAAATATTTATAAAATATTGAAATAGTTAAGTTCAACCGAGTTTAACAGAATAATAACACTCTTATTAGTGCTTAAATTAAGTTTTAAAAAAAATTGTAGGGATTCAATTGTTGATGAAATTAATATTTGAAAGACAGATATGCCAACAACCCATTAGTTTAATAACTAACAGTTTTCATACCAATTTGAATCATAATTTTGTTATTAAATTACCATAATTAAAAATATTGATTTTCCATAAATAAACGTAAATTATTTATCATTTTAAACTAATATATCTTCATAATCGTATATTTTAATCTTATACTCAGTAATTATTTTTATTTTTATTATTTTTGTAATTTACATAATTCTCTTGTTATTTATTGTTCTAAAGTATCTGACATAATATGTACAAAGATTATATACTTACCAATCTAAATACACACCTGGGGTAAGAGCAGTATATGTTATAAATATTATAACAATTAAAAATAATTTACTATAATAAAGAGTCTTGCTTTTAATAGCATTTTTCAATTTGTTCTTCACTGTAAATTCTCCAGACTCCACATAGTGTTTCATAATTGGCATAATAAACCTAAACATTTATAATTATTTTATAACTACCAAAATTATACATTAAAAATGTTGCAAATATAATTATAAATAAAACATTATAAGTATAAAAATAAATAATAAAAAAAATAAATAGAATCACAGTGTCTCTCAGTAAAATAGAGTTTAATAGAATTTAAGATACTTTGATACAGATAACGTATTTTGGAGTAATACTTATAATTTTTATTTTGTTATAATTATTTAGAGAAAATCAGTGTAAACTGTCATCAACTGTTTTATTTATTTATCTAACATATTATACAAACTAGGTATAGCAATACTGCTCTTTAATTTTTTTTTAATTAGTCAAGCTGTTTAAATGAATTAACTAATTACAAAATTAATTAAGTGTTAACAACAGTATGTATGTTAGTTTTCACAGTATTCAATTTTTTTCAAACAATTGAAATGCTATAAAAACTCTATATAAATTAGAAGTTTTATACTTCAATAATATTATTTATAATGTGTGAAGCTTAATTAATTTAAAAAGTTTTGTTGAAAAACAATAATTCCTTAAGTTAGTATTGCAATAAACTACAAATTTTATTTTATTTTAAGCGGAGTAAATCAAATATAATAATTTTTCCACAAAGAAATAATGACACGAGTCAAACTGAAATCAGATTTTCGATAAAACAAAGGTGAAATGAAACTTGAATTATTATATTATGCACATAGAAGTAAAGTATACAATATTTATTTAGAATATTATATTAACAATAATTTAAGATTGATATAAGAAAAATTAGTTAAAAATCTTATTTTTACATAATGAAACATTAAAAGTCGATTTCCCAATATTTTGAATTGTACCACTATTCTTTCAGTGATGTGAAATTATATGCTACACGACTACATACCAAGCTAGTAATTGAGAAGTCCAATAAACAACTCTCCACATGATTGGTAACGTAGAACCTGGCACAGAACTCCAGGGCTTCTCACAGGTTGATGAGGTTGATGAAACATGAATAGAAATTGTAGTATTATCGTTAAGCCCATCTTGAAGACATTTACGATAAGCCGACTAGAATCAAAATAATAGTTATGTAGATATTGAATATGTGAATGCTAATTACCTATATAAATACTGTACACAAATAAATATTTTAACCAGATTAATATTTTTAATAAGTTGAATTGAATGAATATTTTATAATTTTAATGGGTAGGTATAACACTATGAAATGTTATGTTTACAATGATATAAGAAGTTAGTAGTTACTAAAGATATATCGATGGGAAGAACGAAGATAATCAATAGGGAAAAAAACCAAGAAATGTGCACAGCTGTTGTAACAACAATATTTTGAGTTTTCCAATTGCCATAACGGTTGAGGAGCACTGTAGTTAAAATAAAAGCAAATATAACTTCAGCGCCAAACATTCCCACAGTCATTATAAGACTTATCTAAACATCTATTTGACAATTTGTTTCCACGTCCGTCATAAATTGGTCTGAAAGACAACAAATAACAAATAATATCAAATTTATTTAAGTTCTTGTTTATGGATCGATTGTGTATCTACCTACCACAAGGGAACTCGGTATTTACCATAGAAATGATGAAATTGTATAGTAGACTTCTATGTATGTCTATGGAATTTACTGTTACCGGTGAAATACAAAAGTTACCGGGAAGCCGTTTAGTTTTGTTTTTCGAAGTTTTTGTTGAGTGTTTGACGTCTTAGATGATTTGAACGCTTAGAAAATGTACCTACCAACATATTATTGTCCTAAACTCCGCTAACTGCCATGTCCTATTCGGTAATTTACAAAATATCTTATTACAACGATGACAGATCATGCGTAAAGTTGGAGGTATAATTTGCAATTTTTCAGTGACGAGTTAAGATCGTCGAACGCGGGACGATTTCTAGGGGTAAAATGATTATAACAATATTATGTGGTTATCTCTATTATGATTATTTTGTTTTGAGTTTCGTGTACGACTCTAGCCCATATATAATATAATTCTATATAATTATTATATTATTATTTATTATCTATGCTCTAATCTCATTTAAATTGCGATTACAGAAACAGTAAACACGTTCCGCTTTTATCAGCACAATATTATAAACCCGCCTTTTTTTTTTTTATCATTTTGTTGTTTTTCGTATGGAAATGCATTGCGCATGATAACAGGTATTTGCTGTGGTCTATCTTCGTTAATTATTTTCGGAAATTAAAACGACCGCTTTGAAAACAGAAAACCATAGACGTAGAGGAGCTAGTAAAAAGGAGGCCAGCGATCCTCGGCCGAGGACGGCGAACAACCATTTTTTATAACTAATTATCATTTAATAATGTATAATAATTATCTCTTATATTATAAAACACAAATAGTCTCCGTTTTTTGCCACCAGGGGCGACGCGACAAATAAGGAATTCCGCGTTTCTTCCATGACGACCAATCATATTACTTCTCGCGCGACGCAGCAAATAAGTAACTCCGCGTTTCTTCCATGACGACCAATCATAATACTTCTCGCGCGTTCCCTAAATTTTCACGTCGCCGCTCGCTTATCTCCCTTTTCGTTATCGACGATTGACGTGAATATTTTCGAATATTATTATTTATTTTCCCGAGTTATTCCGTATTTCTATATATTATATAATATAATAAAAATAAAAAAGTGCGTGTGCGATTTTTACAAAAATTGTGATATTTCCGTGTGTAAAATATATAAAATATGTAAAACGCAATATTCAGAAACTGTTCAAGTGTTATGTAAATGTCATTATTATGAATTTTATTATCGTACCGTTGTGGAAGCCGCCATTCAGCCATTCAGAATTTCAATAATATTAAAAATATAAGTAGTTTGAATGCACGGATTAGATAGACATTTTTCACGAGTATTGCAGTACATTTAACTATTATATCTAAGAGTTTTAGTAGGAGCTTGGTGTGTCGATTGTTTATGACAATGTCGTTACATACGTAATAAGGTAAGTAATAATAAGTAAATTCAATACATTTATATACGAGGGGTAATTACAGAAAGTTTGTACACCAGATTACTGATTTAAATGATTATACCTATGATTTCCCATGACTTACTACAAAGATTACCTATGATTACACATGATTACCCCCAAGGTGTTTACCCCTCGATTATAATATACTAATATTGTATTACCAAGTTTAATTACTTCAATTCATACCTTATAACTGTACTAACCTTTACATTGGGTTACACGTATTAATTTTTTGCAATATTTCAAACAAATTTCAAAACAAGAAAACTACATTTACATAGGTATTATATGTTAAATTGAATTTAAATTCCTTCAAAGGTGTAAAACTATGCTTAAAATATTGTACTATTTGTCAACATTTTTATTATGTCGTTGGCATGCAAAAATGTATTATACATGATTTATATATATTATATTAATAAATACATAGGTATCATTTATATTCTACTTTTTAAAACTTTATTATAGGACAACTGTATGCAGCGTTTTCCCGAGTGAGGGACTCTCAATCCATAAAAACCATTAGAGTTGCTATGTACAGTGATGGCCTTGGTAGATTCGTCACTAAGAACATTGTGTACAGAGAAATTCTACAAGCGATATAACTGTACAATGAAGTCTACAAGAACTTAATGAACATCGAATCCGAATTGTGTGACACATGGTTTATAAGCAGTCGTAAGTACGACTCGCGGAGGAGAGAAAGTTCGACGACCTCCACGTGGTTCTCTCTGGATGCGGATTTTGTAATGAATACGTAACTGATGTCGAACATGCATTTAACCTGGCTGCGACTCGCACACTAGATGGTAAATTATTTAGAATTATTTATGTACTCTAAAAATATATCAGCAGATATTTGTATGCATTTGTATTATTTCAGAAACATTATACTAAAAATGACTATCAATGCAGATGTAACAGAAACAGAATCATTGTTGTACTGCTACTAAGGCATAGGGGAAATTCGACAACCTCTACGTGCTACTCTCTTGATGCGGATTTTGTAATGTATTTGTATCAAATGTCAAACATGCATTTAGACTGACTGCGACTCGCACACTAGGTGGTAAATTATTTAGAATTATTTATGTACTCTAAAAATATATCAGCAGATATATGTATGCATTTGTATTATTTCAGAAACATTATACTAGAAATGACTATCAATGCAGGTGTAATAGAAACAGAATCATTGTTGGACTGCTACTAAGACATAGGGGAAATTCGACAACCTCTACGTGCTTCTCTCTTGATGCGGATTTTGTAATGTATTTGTATCAAATGTCAAACATGCATTTAAACTGGCTACGACTCGCACACTATGTGGTAAATTATTTAGAATTATTTATGTACTCTAAAATATATCAGCAGATATTTGTATGCAATTGTATTATTTCAGAAACATTATACTAGAAATGACTTCATCAATGCAGATGTAGCAGAAACACAACAAAAAGATTCATCATTGTATCAATACTGATTACTAATTTGCAACTAAACCATTCTCTGATAATCATAAGAATTACTACAGCTAACACTTAATTATTATTCATTGTTAATTTGTAACTGATGTAGCACACACACACACACACATATATATATATATGTATATACACTTAAATTGATTAATAGTAAGTTTCATACACAAATTATTATAATTTCAAAAGCATATATTATCTACTATAACCAGAGTTTGTAAGAAATTTTCAATTTTGTTGTATGTACAATATGTTTCATTTCTACGTATTGCAGTCGACGCACGATTCAATTAAATTTTTTTAAACATCATTAAACTACACTATATTGTATGTTTGAATTTGTATTGCTTAACAATGTCTTTTATATGTAATAAACATAATGAGGTATGATTAGATATTTTGCCACCCCAAATAATTTTCATTGAAAAAACATTATACAATTACTGATTAGTAATACCTAATTGATTATACATTATTTGTAATTTAAAAAATGTGCTCTGCTGTACTGTAGGTTATAAGTGGGTCACTGTATAATGGATGGTATTAAATTTGAATTCAATGATATAATATCATTGTATAAGAAAAACGATTCTGAGTGGAGAAGGTATGTCAGTCTAGGTTAAGACATATTATATACATATTACATATATATCGTATTAAAATAAAATTGACCTATAATAAATTCCAAATTAATCATATCACAATATCCATTAGGTACTTATAAGCGTTTTACATCAACAATAAACCGTGATACTATCATAGATATATAAATATAATAGTACACTTTAGAAGTTTCAAGTACCCACGAATAATATTATACAATCACAACAAAATAACTAAAATAGTTATTCTAGGTTTTTTAATATATAATTTCATCCAAATTTGAATTTAAAATGTCTGTAAAAAATAACTGTGTTCATATATTTTTTAGATTTTTTGGTTACAGTATGAACTATTCATGAGAACCTCTGTTTTAAATTTGCAGTCCTTAGCTATAAAAACTGAACATTTTATAATTTATTAATTACAATGATTGATAATTTTAGAGATTTTGATAAATTTTGTCAAAATTCGATGTTTAAATGCTTATAAAAAGAAATTGTACATATGTATTTGAAATATTTTTCAAACTGATATTGTAACAATATATCGGGAGCCGAGGAAATCGCTATATGAGAAATCGACTGAATCTCCAATGTTGTAAATATTTGAATTTCAAACACTCATAAAAATTTAATTTGACTTTCTTATAGACATTTTTTTTTGATAAATGTAGAAAATCTTATAAGGAATCTTGTATTACATTTTCATATCTTTTATTAGCCATTGGTTAACAATTAATGTTACCATTAATATTATTCATTAACTAATAATACCAACAATAATTTATTCGAGCCTATGCATACCTACCATTTTAAAGGAGAGTTATGCAAACTTATAAATATGATAACATCTGTTATATATATGTTGTAATATAACTTAGGTTAGGTTATGTATAAAAAAAACACTTAAAAATAACTGTTGTTATATATTATATATATATATTTCTATTTATAATTTATACGTTATTCATTCTGAAAATATATACAAACACAAATTAGAATTAGACAATAAAAAGAACACAAAAATTAGTACACAGGAACTTTTTATAGCTTACCACTAGCTTGCTGTCATCCTATAAACAATTAAAATTTAAAAACATTTATAACTAACATGTATATTACAAATATATTACAATATTATACTCACTCCTACATTCATAGAGGCCATATCCGTGGCCCATAGATGACACAGCACTCGAGCCACGGTCATGGCCCGAGTGCTGGTGCGAAGTTCTGGCACCATTCCCCAACGACGGGGGGGCCGAGTCCCGCAGCCGCTGTGAGATCGTCTCTCTCGGAGACCGATCTCGCCGCCGAGGGGGGGACCGGT